AGTATTATTATTGATTTATTTATCAATTAATAACACATTTTATATCAATTCGGAAACTAAAATAGCACAAAATTTATTTTTTCTGGTGTATCATCCCGGATAGATACGTGATAAATAAGAAGAATCTCAAGATTATTGAAAAATTTCAATTTGGTTATTCGAATTTTAGATTACTTTTACAATATATATGAATTTTAATAAAGTTATTATTGATTAAAGTATATTTTTCTTCAATATTTATGCTTAAAATTAGATTAGAAGTATCTGAAAAGGTGCTTGATTATAAGGAAAATGCACTTACTTCTTACTTCTGTGGCTTATTTTAATTTTGTATGATATCAAGATGGATGCAGATATTGTTTTTTATTTTGAGAATTCTTAAATTCGCAAAATGGACAATAAACTTAATTTAAAAAATAGGATTTTATTTTAAATTTAAAATAGGTTTTCTGATTTGCTTCTTAAAATAGTTCTTAATCTTTACAGTTATATAAACTTTATTTATGATGTTTTTCTCCACGAAAAAAGAGTAATAAATATTTAATTAATTAAAACTAATTTTAAACATCAGTATTTGCTAAAATATTAATTTTATAAATAAAAACCAATTGCAAATCATAAGATCTAACGAATAAGTAGAAGACTTAAAATGTAGGAAGTTCTTCGCTTTATATGCAAGATTTAATTCAAAATATATTTAAAATTTTATTTAAAATGATGATTGGTTGTATATTTTAAAACAAAGACGTAGCTCCTCCTCTTTTTTAATTTTTCAACCAATCAAAGAAGTGCTCGAGTTAAAAGTTTGTTTCTTACGCTATTTTGCAGAGGACTGCCTATATTTACAGACCTTTTTTTTGTTGAATTTTGGCTCTAATTAGCGTAAAACTTCTTTCATTTAATAACATATTTTAATATTTAAAAAATTTATTTAGACTTTAAATATTTCTAAACAATCGTGAGTATGACTTTAACTGGAATTTTTCTTCAAGAATTCGTTTCTTCTTATCTCGTTAATAACATTATACAATGCTAGACAAGCTATAAATTTATTTAAAATCATAATTACATAAATTTATGTAAATTTAAATGAGAAAAGCAACATTTGTATGCAAATAACTTACGCAAACAGTCCATTGTTAATTGTTTAAGATGAGGTTTTGCACTTCAAATATTTATTTAAACTTGTTTATGTGTATACAAATCCTGTTTGTTTACTAAAATTAATGGGTAAATCTTATGCAAACGAAGAAAAATTTAGAAGGTTTAAGCCCTTCTAAACTAAGAATTATTAACTTTTAAGAGGAAATTTTACTTCTAACCAATGAAAAATCTCTCTCAAATTTGGAGAAAATAGTAAACCAAGGGGATCAATCATTCTCATTACTTATTTTATGGATAAGATAACTGATGGTTTTTTAGTTTTCTAAGAATTTATTTGTCTTCTAATCAATTGAAATATCACTCTAAAAATCTTTATATATAGAGAGAATAAATCAAGAACAACCCTCATTCTCATCAATTTTTCAAGGATGAAGATAACTGTTACCTATCTGAATAGGGATGAGGATGATTGATGACTTCAAGAGGTCTCAAATTTTTAGAAAAAACGGCCAAAAACACTGTTTAATTGGAATTAAAATTAACTAAATTTGTACAAAATCCACATTTATAGCCTATTATTATACGAATGTGAGAAAGGGTGGAGAAATTTTCTCTTTCTGACAAGCGCAGCGACCACTAACAATAATTAAAGATTGCGGGATATTTTAATCATTTAAACGTATTACTAATGCATTTTATATAAAAATTATCCATTTAAAAGGTAACTTAATTCACGGTCCACCCAAATTTAACTTAAAAGTGGACACATCAAAGAGAAGTCGTCCTCGACGATCATTTCCCCCTCTTCCACTCTTCATATGTGCATTAGTCATCTGTAAAAATAACTTTTTACGTCAACACTTACAAGGATCCCCTCTATTTAACGGATTTTCGCGGATTTTCCCGTAAAATAATACAGTAACACATGCGTAAATACGTAACATAGCAGCAGTAGCACGAAGCATGTTATAATTTTGGCACTTTCCTCCTTTTTACTCCCTCGTTCTGTCGATAGAAGAGGGAGGAAAACGTGGAAGAAAGTGAAACGTATTTCAATTCCGCTCCCTCATACAGCTGTGGGTCAAAGGTGAAGGTTTGGGGGGGTCGTTCGAGTCACCAAGGACGAAATTTTACCGTTAACTTGCCCCAGGTTAGAGAAGATCTTTGAATTCTTGCCCTATTCTTTGTATTCTTTCGCTGTGTTTTCTTGTAAATCCGGTCTGGTGACCGACGTAACAATGTTACGAGTTAGTATTCGTGTATTGCTGCTAATAAATTTGCATATTCGAAATTTAAAAAAAAAGAATTAAAATTAAAATAAACTCTTCCTCGAAAGGAGAAATAAGCTCAAAAGTCAATTTTAGATATAACGTAATTTTGAATTGTTGCCAAAATTCCGAAGATTTTGCATCCCTTTGAGGTGATGCGTAGCGCGCGCGCGCGCGACGTCGCGCCTCTTAGGTGTTTCTGACACGCTCTTATTGTGTAAATAACGATAAAAAATGTATAAATATTTTTAAATTTTTGCACTTTTAATAAAAAACTTAATAATTTATGAGTATTTTTTTGTATTTACTTATATATTCTAATGTTTATACATGTCTCAAATGCTCCGGCGCGTCGCGTGTCGCACATTTTTTATGTGCGACACGCGACGCGCCGGAGCATTTGCGATTGGCGCTGCGTTGCGTTGGTAAGCGATGCGCTTTTACATCTTAAGATTTTTTAATAATTAATTTTTAAAATAAATATAATGAGTATATATTTAAAAATCTTTAAAATTTTTAACAATAAATTTAATACTTTTTTCAAAATTTTCAGTGTGAATTATGTCGCGTGTAGCGAGTTGCGTCAGCGCATCGCGTAGCGCACCAATAAAGATCAGTTATAATATTTGATAATAATATATTTTTTTTAATTTTTTAATTAATTACTAAATTGGAAATATTTCCGAATACAGTTCCATTATTGTATGGCGCATTATATTTTCTATTTAATATGAGTACTTAAAATATATTTTCGTGAGACATGGAGCGGCGCATCCGCTCGCGTCATACCACGCGCCGATAAGTTTCAAGCAGAATATTTTAAAATTTTCAAATAGAACAAAAGTGAAAACTTCTAAACAAATTTCCAGTATAATAATAAATATATTTTGAAGAATTTAGTTTAGAAAATACAAATTTTTAGGCTTCTAAAATGTAAAATTATCACTTAACACACTAAAAAAACAGCTAAGTCGGACGCGCAACGTAAGAAAAATCATTAAATTTCAACATAAATCGTTTGTTACGCATCAAAAAACGCATAGAATTATCTTTATTACTTCAAAATCCTTCTCCATAATTCATTTGCCCTCATAATTTTTTAATATTTGTCATGCAAATTTTGAAAAATTAAACTCGAGTGATGCTCTCTTGTTTATTATCAGTCATGCTTCGTAAGTTTCTTTCGTAATTTCTGTAGTTAAATGGGGTTAAATATAATTTTCTACATGAAATTTAATCTACTAAAATATTTATAAGCAACAAAAATGAACGTAAAGGTCCAAAAAAACATCCAAAAAAAAGGATGAGAAGCACGCAACCAACGTATAACGCGCAGCATTTATAATCAGTAAAAACTTTTAAAAAATCAGTTTAATCTTTAAAGAAACGAGAAAAAATCTTAATTTTTTAATAAATTTTTTGAATTATTTGTTTACTTTTTGGTTATAGCTTATATTAAACGGATAATTAACTTATTATTTTTGTCGAGGCGCGACGCGAAGCGACGCGTTGCGCTATTCAACACGCCTAAAGAGGTAAGGAATAGGCCAAACGAATCCAAAAACTGCTTCCAGCTAAAGAATTTTTTTAGGTTAAAGATTTTTAAATTGCAAATTTTTTATTTATTGTGCCGAAAGGATAATTTTCTAACTGATTTATCTCCTAATTTGCATAGAAAAACATTATTCAAATTGTTACCGGCTTCCTCGTGATTTTATCATCTATAAATTATACAAAATGTTTCCGGTTCATTTTGACCCCTGTACATATTATAATAATGTAAAAATCCTAGAAAATTTCTTCGAGAAAACCATGAAAATTTACCTATAAAATCGGTTAAACAAGGCAATTCGAATGCACTCGTACAAGTAACTTTCTTTCGACTTTCTTCATCAGAAATTCCTAAAATTTCTTTAATTTTTTCTGTTTTATACTTTAAAAATAAGTTTAAAATTAATTATTTTAAAGTTTAATATTGAAAAAAAGAGTTTTTAAAATAAAATTTTCATATTTTTTTAAGCAGGAAACATCACGGATCTCCAAGGAGCTTGGATGATGATGCTATAAAATAACGTTAAAATCACATTTAATTCTCTGTTTAAATCTGATAAAATTTTAAATTTCTAGTTAATTTTGATCAAATTTTAATCATAAAGCTGAAAAATTAGCTTAATTTAACGTGTGTCACTCGAAGAAATAAAAAAAAAATCGATTCTTTCTAGTAGCATCATGCTGTTAGAAATCGTTAAAATATCTATAAAATTTAACAATTTTAATCGATTATAAATAATTATTAAACCATTAAAATCGTATAAATTATTATTTTACAGTTAAATTATAGAGTTTAAATTTATTATACACAATTTTACTTGCAAAAAAATCACGTATCGGTCATGCAAATACGAAATTCCCTTATTGAAACGTAAGAATTTCTTTAAATTTTGCATAAAAATTAATAAAATTTTGAAATTTCTGTACAAAATTTAGCTTTAAACGTGTATCAAGTAAGAAATTCTCAATTTTCCAGCATCATTCATCCTCTTCAAGCGATTTATCAATTATATAACACGATTTTTACTTGAATTAATTAAATTTATAAAGTGGAGAAGAGTTTAAGTTCATTTTGCTTGCATAAAATTTTATTTTTTTTAACATTTTCTTTACAAAAATACTACATCAACACGACGCGCACGATATATATAAAAAAAATAATAATCATTATTAAAATATGGAGCAGACCCGCTGTACAGAAACCTGAAGATTCCTTTGTGTATACTTGTATGCATTTTTTTTACATGAAGAAGGTGTCTTAGGAAGAAACATCCCACCAAAAATGACATAGACAAACTACTGCCGAGGTCCGAGAGCCAATGAGGTAACCTGTTACAGCAACAAATAAGAAAAGTTTATAACTGTCGAAGCTGGTTATGTTTTTCAACGTCAGCATCCTCCAAGATGGGGGTATCAGTCAAACCGATTTTCTGGTTTAATCTATAGAATTCTGGTGCGGATTGGCACGGTGTTGCCTCCTCTGGAGTGGCGCAAGTCATGGTAAGTTGGCTGAAGATAGTTTGATTACCACAGATAAAACTGTAGTGGAATGTTTCCTTGGATCCATCCTCGTGTTCTACTTGATTGCATACGTGAAACACCTGACATCCCGTATCCAGATCGGCGTAGTAGCCTGTAGCCTTGTTTGTACAGTCGAATGTCTCTGGTGGTTCCTTACCCAACAGCAGGAAGGCACCATCGGGTAGTTGGAAAGCTTGACGCTTAGTCTACGTATAAAATTAAAGGTTAAAAAAAACACTAGAAAGATACTAGATTAGGTTAACAACAATAGATAAATCTACTCACTCGAGGAAAGGCTATTACAACTGCCAGAAGAGCAAGAGCTGCGAGGAAGAAAGTGAGGAAAATGAAGCTTATATCCAACGATATGAGGAAATTAAGAAATTTTACACTTACCTAAAAGTATATACTTCATCTTTCTGTGTTCTATCAAAAGTTAAGTAAACGTTAGAAGGGTTGGAATAGAGAAAAAAAAGAGGATGTAGAGATATGTGCTGAGCTTACCTATTGAGGGTGCGTTGAATGAAAAAGTGATGCTAACAGCTTACAGCTGGATATTTATACAAATGGATGACCCTATTGAGGTCAAGAAGGTGAAGGTTTATTAGAAAACCTTGTTCTTCTGTGTCAGTTAAGACGTGATCGTGTACCGTTAGACTCTCCTCGAACAAGAGGAAATATTTGGATAAATGCCTAATTTCTGTTGCAATCGAGTTGTTAGTTATCGTTCACGGAATCTTTTTGAATTGTATTTTTTTGATTTTCATGATTTATTTTCGTGTAGAGTCATACATTTTTACTATATTTTCGAACTTAAAACTTCATTTATAGTAGCTGGAGAAGGTCGTTCGAAGGACGTATAACTTGGGTTGATACTTCTTATATAAAACCCAATTTTACGTGTTTTAATGCAAAATTAAGGCTGTAACGGGTTTTAATTACATTATAATTAAATAATATCGTCATTACCGAGAGTTAAACGTAATTAAATACCCTACGAAAGATTCGGTTTTGAGGATAGCGTGCGTAAAACTATGCAATTTAATGGAAATTAAATAACTTTACTGCGTAAAATTATTGAAATTTAATTAAAACTTTGTCTTTTTTATGAATCTTAATTAATTCCATAATATAATTAATTAGAATTTACTCAAAAATATAACTGAAACTCTTCGGAAATATCATTTTTAGCTTCGTAATGCGAGAATTTAATTAAATTTAAGCCAATTAAACGCTTTTCCATAATTAAAAACTGTAAAACTTAATTAAAATTCAATTATATTTGATTGTCATTTATTTTAAACGTAATTAAGGGTATTTAAACGTAATTAAAATCGATTGAAAAAATGGAATATATCGGCTTAAAACAGATTACATTTTTAAAAATTATAATTAAGAAAATAAGTAATTTTTTTCATTAAAATGTACTGTAAATACCTTCTAATAGTTATAATTAGTTTTAATTATAATTAACTCAAAATGTAATTAAGTGGGATTAAACGAAATTCATTTATTTTCAAAAGAAAATTATTTTAAATTCGAGTTTCATTCATTAAAATGCATTAAAAAATTAATTTTCAATTAAGAAAATAATGTAATATAATGGTAACACCATTAAATTCGAGTTAAACTTAATTAATTATTAAATATTCAGAAACTCCATTAAAACTTATGCAATTTGCGTGTGTAAAGAGCATTATAGAAACGGGATTAAAATTAAGAAGATTTAAAGAATTAAATAATATAATTGTTGACTGTTAAATCTAAATCGTGATTAGAAAGACAATTAAGTGAAATTAAAGGCAATTAAGAGCGTGAAATCGGAGAGTTATGATGAATCTTGCGTGTAGGAAAGCCGTTAAATTTGAGGGAAAAAAACGTTAAAAATATTTTTAAAAACGTTAAAAAATTAAAAAATAATCTGAAATAATTGTTTAAAATGTGTTTAAGAAGATAATTAAGTACAATTAAAGGTAATTAAGAATGTAAAGACGAGGAGGAGGATGCTTTCTTTCCATCAATCTGCAAGAATTTCTAGCAGGAAAAAACAAATAAATTCGAAAAAATACGGTGTAAAAACATAGAAAATGTATTAAAAAATGCTGAAAACGTTCTAAAAAATCCGTTATATCCTAGAATAAATTATTTTGGGACGTGTTATCAGTGCCATGTTCACCCACATTGCCAAACAGGATTAAGCAAGATCCATAAAAGTTCATGTCAACGTGTCGTGACTTTTTGCTCTTATGCCAATAATAAAGCTTTTATAAGTGAAATATTATTTCATTTTTCTTCTTCCAAACTTTATTTATAAGTATTTTAACACGAATTTGTTGGAAATTTTTTCCAATTTTTTTAATCAGTTAAATTGGGTTTTCTTAACGTTTCTCCATTTTCTTTTCCCTGTTTTCTTGGGGATTTAAATTATAATTTAGGGATTTTTTTCCTATTGGAATTCTACTGTGACGTCTCTAAATTTACTGTTTTGTAACTGGAAAGTGTCTATTTTGCAGAGGAAAGTCATCTCTTTTGCAAAAAATTAAAGAAAAAGCAGCATTTTTTACTCTCGAAAAGTATAATTTCCCCTATTTTCAGAAAAAAAACCCTTTTACTTTGCAATAATTTTTCAAATTAGATTCGTTTTATGCATAAAAATTAGCAAAAAATATCATAATTTTTCAAGAAAATCTGTCACATTTTCACAAAATCTCTTTTGTTTTGCTATAATTTTTGCTTTTTTTCAGTAATAAACCACTCCAAATACACAAAAATTCGCAAATTAGTCTCCTTTTCTGCAAAGAAATCTTCATACTTTGCATAAAAATCAACAAAAATGTCTAGAAATTCGCAAGTATTTTCATCAGTCTGCAAAATACACTTTAAAAAATCTCTTGGTTTGTGTTAATTTTATAAATTACAGTGGTATTTTACACGAAAATCATCAGAAAAACTTCAATTTTCTTAAGAAAATCAAGGGAGAAGTCTCATATTTTCGAAAAAATTCCCTAAAAGTCTTCTTCTTTGCAAAAAAAGTACGCCGTATTTAGCAAATCACCTTTAAAAACAATTCAAAGAAGCCTTCAATTTTGCAAAATTAAAAAAAAAAAAACAAAATTATTGCTTAATCTTGCAAAAATCTTCAGCAAATTAAGCATTTAACCAAAACAAATTCCTTTTTTTACTTGGTGTTTACATTGAGTCTAGACTTATATCTACAAGTTTTGAAGGTTTCGAGTATCGTCGCCACGTTTTTGACCCCCTTTCGACGGACAGAACGGCGCCATTCGATTAAAAATCCAATATGGCGACGGGTGCACGGTGCGTAACTTTTCTGTTTCTGTCGGTAACCTAATTAATTGTTCTCTGCTCGTGACCTCGAACTAGATCTTCGAAAATATCGGGTTCTCGACCCAGAACTTGTTCGTCTGGTTGTCTGTTTTCACTTTTAAACTAGTAATTATAAATTTTTCTTTTTATGTTCTCGCATTTAGCTGTTGCGACACGATTACATAAAAGATAAGGAAACGAACGGAGGGTCGAGGTATTTTATAAATTTTTCAGCGATTGTGTAAAGAATATTAAGTTTTTTTTTATGATAAAATTTATATTTTTAGCTTTCTGTAGTAAATTTTTTACTTGATTTTAACACGTTTTCCTATCATCAGCGCGAGGAAGATGCTGAAAAAAATGTGAAAAATTGGCGTAGAATTTTTATGGAAAAATGTAGCGATATGTCAGGACAGTATGCGTAAAAAGTAGGAAAATATTCTAGAAAATATGATGCAAAATTGTGCCAGAAAATCAGCAAAAATTCTAGAAAGTAGGGTGCAAAGTTGTGCAAAAAATTAGAAAAAATTCTAGAAAGTAGGGTGCAAAGTTGTGCAAAAAAATCAGAAAAAATTCTAGAAAGTAGGGTGCAAAGTTGTGCAAAAAATCAGAAAAAAATTCTAGAAAGTAGGGTGCAAAGTTGTGCAAAAAATCAGAAAAAAATTCTAGAAAGTAGGGTGCAAAGTTGTGCAAAAAATCAGAAAAAAATTCTAGAAAGTAGGGTGCAAAGTTGTGCAAAAAATCAGAAAAAAATTCTAGAAAGTAGGGTGCAAAGTTGTGCAAAAAATCAGAAAAAAATTCTAGAAAGTAGGGTGCAAAGTTGTGCAAAAAATCAGAAAAAAATTCTAGAAAGTAGGGTGCAAAGTTGTGCAAAAAATCAGAAAAAAATTCTAGAAAGTAGGGTGCAAAGTTGTGCAAAAAATCAGAAAAAAATTCTAGAAAGTAGGGTGCAAAGTTGTGCAAAAAATCAGAAAAAAATTCTAGAAAGTAGGGTGCAAAGTTGTGCAAAAAATCAGAAAAAAATTCTAGAAAGTAGGGTGCAAAGTTGTGCAAAAAATCAGAAAAAAATTCTAGAAAGTAGGGTGCAAAGTTGTGCAAAAAATCAGAAAAAAATTCTAGAAAGTAGGGTGCAAAGTTGTGCAAAAAATCAGAAAAAAATTCTAGAAAGTAGGGTGCAAAGTTGTGCCAAAAATTAACTAAAATCATAAGAAAGAATGGCATAAATTTTATTCATCTTATAATTTAAAAAAAAAAAAAACAAATATCGACTCTCAAATAGCAAATTTTGCATAATTTTTATTATTAAATCTGAATTTATTACATTAAAAATCCTGCAATTTCTCATACATTCGACCTCATCATTCTTAAAAATCGAAGATGATATTTAATTTAATTCAATTTTCATTAACAAAACTTAATTAATTTTTTTATTTTTTAAAAAATCAATTTGTAACGAGTGATTTCATTCGATGTCGTTATTGTTGTTGGATGCGATTATCTTTCTGACAGAGAATCTTCTATTGATGAAGTAGTAATTGTGAGCATCTTGACAAGGAACCGCTTCGTCTGGGTGGGTGCAAGTCAAGCTAATTTGATTAAAAATGGTTTGATTGCCACACAGGAAACTGTACTGAAGAACACCATTAGGTGAGGGATGACAGATGTGAAAAATCTTACAATCCATCCCCTGATCTGCGAAGTATCCTCTTCCTTTATCTTCACAGTTGAACGTCTTCACTATAGGAGCTCCTATGATGGCTTCTGCTTCTTCGGGTAAGAAGTAAGCTTGTCGTTTAACCTGTTTGATGACAAGATAACGGGATTTTAATCACGTTTTAAGGCTTTTTAGTGTCGGAAATTTCGAATTAACTTGATTAATTACCTTTGGAAGAGCTGCCACTAAAGCTAGGAAGGCTAAGAAGGCTGCAAAGATAGAATATTTTTGATTTAAAATTACTTCATCTTGGTGCTCTTCTGTAGATTATCACTTACCAATTGTGAGGAATTTCATTATTTATGGTTTATTCTGTCTCCGGAAGGATGCTAAATAGAAAAAGAAATTGTTAAATTGTTAATTAAAATGGTTTAAATTAGCGAAAATATAGTGAGGATTTCGCAACAGATTTCAAGTTATGTCGCAATATCGAGGGAAGAATTACCAGACCTGTTTCCACCCCCGTTATTTCGACGTTGCGTAGGTGGATTGGACGGGAATTTTGTCAACATAACGGCTTACTAACGGTTCCTATTAATCAAATTCTAGAGATTATCGAAGTACGAGTGCACTTAAACTGAATATAAACTTAGAGAAGATGCTGCCCTACTGACCCTAATCATCCTTAGAAAATTCATATTAAGATATTTAGTATATACTACTGTTGTTATAATGTAAGAAAAACAAAGGCGTATCACGTTTGAATATGCCTGTTTGTTTGTCTGCTGGTTAGCAAGTATAATTTATGGGTGAGACATAATGCACTGAAGTAGAAAAGTGACTCGACAACTTAATTCTACGACAGGGACATTTGTCTACGTCATTTTTATCTCTTTACTTACAAAAAACACACAATTTTTCATCTACAAACAGTTCGTTTACGTTTATAAACACTATAGCTAACAATTACTTAATTTACAGCGTGATTAAGGGTATAAAACTCGTCACACACGATAGTCCCTTATTAGACTATGTCCTAAACACGTGATTTATGGTATTTAAAATGACAGAGGGGTATAAATTGTGCACGTGAAACGATTCACTTACCTAAATTCGATAGCCTGAGGAAGCTGTGAAAAGCGTAGTTTTCTTCTAACTTTTCTTAGCATTCGCCAGTAAACAACTTCATCCCCGGTTAGCCAGACGCAAGAAGACTCGTTATTGGTTAATTTCCTCCAATTATATGCAGCGTGTGATGTTACACGAGACACCAGATGATGTGGAATCATTAGACAAACTTCCTCATTCGTCTACTCCCTTTTTATAGAATTTACACACGTCTCGTGATTTATTTTCACTTTTACCTGTTTTTAATCGATAAAATTTAAGTTTAAATGCATTTTTACATGTAAAAATTGTGAAATTTTAAATATAAGAGGGTATGATTTATAGATTTTCAATCGGTGGTTCGCGAATCCTCGAGTGTCTCGAGGGTAATGACATAGTTTTTCCAATCGATAAAACGGGGTCGCCACGTGACAAAGGTTGAGAAATGTCGCTTTAGGGGGGTAATACTACGGGAGCTTCTGTATAATCTCCATTTTATAGTTTCGTTTAATGATACACGTGAGGGAATGAAGCTTCAAACATGACACTTCTTAGGAGGAACGTACTTATTTTTTTCCAATTCGCTCTCATTTCACTACTTTTTTAATGTTATAAAATTCAAAACAATTTAGTAAAATGAATTTATGAAATATTATAAATGTCATTCTACATTTTCCACTAAATATTTTCGATTAACGACTTATAAGAGGGCTAAAATTAACCTTCAAACGTGTCGTCTTCGGAAATTCAGATCACAGAGTTGACGATTATCCACCCAATTTATATCCAATCATTTCCTGTTTTACACTTAAAATTTACTTTCTACAGCGTAGAATCGATAAATATTTAAGATAAAACATTTTTATTTACATAAAATTATAATGTTTTGCAGTGAATTCGAGTATTTCGACACCATTTTTTACTTGGCAAACTGTCAGCTCTCGTGTAAGAATCTCATCCTTCTTATCATTTATTTCATAATTATGTAAGGTCAAGTTAATAAATATTTGACTTTTTTGACTAACTTTCTATTGTGCTGCTTAAGTATTCAAAGAATAAATGTTTCACACATGTAAATTCTGTTTCATTTATTCACATTCGTATGCAGTTTTCACACTTGCAACTTGCTCGTTTGAGTTATTAATATTCTAGTATGACGTTTAACGCGTTATTTATGAAATATGAAACAATATCTGCTTTAAAAAAACTCGTAAGAATTTCTTTTATCTTGTTTACCATCAAAAATATTCAATCAACTTCTTCCAAACAACTTAATTGTGAATTAATTCAGCTTTAACATCAATGAAGTCCGGTTATCATTGAACTTTTCAGCATCCCCTACAAGAAGCAGGTTAAGTGTAACTAAGTAACAATATCGTCACTTTGTTGCTTTCATTTAATGTATACTTTATACCATCGTAACCTTGATCTTGTTACGCTTCTTCTTCGTTTATTCGAGACGTTCTCGCGCTTCTCTCAACGATTCTAAAGTGATGCAAAAGATGATAAGGTGTTAATTTTGGATATTGGAAGTTGTGTAACGTGTTTAATCATATGAAAATCTCCATAATTAGTCGTATTTGCAATTACGAGTCTCGGATAGTGTTTTACCACGATATTGCTCTTCTTTATCCATCTTTAAAAGATTTAAGATTCAGGAAACATTAAGATAATTGCAGTTTATTTATATAAAAATTCAACGATAACAAATTAACCAAGGTTCCACAAGCATTGTACCATAGTACCACAACAAGCATTGTTATATTTGCAATAATAGGATGATAAATTTTAACATATAGATGAGGATAAACTATAGAAATTTGATCAGATTTCTTCATCCTTCAAGAAAACTTCCTCCTCATCGAAGAGACGTTCGTTAAGATGGAAAAACTCGTGAGCTTTGTTACAAGGTACAGCATCATCCGGATGACTACACGTCATAGTTTGCTGATTGAAAACTGTCAGATTGCCACAGATGAAGCTATACTGTTCAGTTTTCTTCTCGGTGGGGTGGCAAACGTGGAAAATTTGACAATCCATTCCCTGATCTGCATAATAACCGCCATCTTTGCCTTCACAACTGAACGTATTCTGTAGGGTTTTACTCAAGATCAGATCAGCTCCAGCTGGTAAATAGTAAACTTGACGTTTTGCCTAATAATAAAAGGAACCATTCTTAAATCACTCCTCTGAAAAATGGTAAGAAAATCAAAGAAAAATGCAACTTACTCTTGGAAGAGCTATCACAGCAACCACAAAGATGGAAGCTTTGAAGAGAAATACGTTAAATTTAAGCCATTAAAAAGGTATAAGAATGTAAACTTAGACATGCAACTTACTCAGGATTAAGATCTTCATGGTGGATTCCACTCAAACTTCTAAAAAATTTTGAAAAAATAAGTAGATATAACTATAGTATAGTTAGTGTTGACGTTAACTACTCACCTAATTGTAAGAAGTGAAAGTATGGAGCCGATGAAGCCATTCTTTATATAAGAATTCTGAAGATCCCTGCAGAGCGGACAGGTTAAGAAGGGCGTTGTATGTGTCACACCACCATCCTTCACCCCTCACCTTTTCATTTATGATGTCATCGGATATCTTACTAAATACAACATTTGTAACTGATAGCAAATAATTTCATTATTCTCTCCAACAAATGGCTATTTTGCATATTTGACATTATTTATGTAAATTCTTATTTCGGATGTCAAACGTCACCCCCTTTTTCTTTCAAACCACGCTTCGAGTTACTTATTTAGGAGGAAAAAAAGAAAAACTGAATATTAATGTGTACAAAATTTGCATCTTTTTCCTAATAGTCACATTGCAATTCGTGGAAGAATACTCAGAAAATGTAAGAATTCTATAGAATATTAAATCTCATTCCTGTAAAAAGATGTAGAGTCAGTTGGAAGAATCCGGATGTAAATTTTTGTTTTTCTTACATCCTACACTTTTCTCTTCTTGAAATTTTATCATTTTCATTCGATTTTTACCTATTTTCTGCTGATTTAAACATGTATTTAATATCTAATCTTAAATCAAGTGATGCGGATCCAGCATCCCAGCATCTTCTCTACTAAAGTGTATTTTTGAGTCTATAACTTCAAATTTTTTGAAAATATTTAAATTAATCGAAATTTTATCAACTATTATAACTCTTTTACTGTTAAAACGTATAAAAATGTAATTATTTGGCAAAAAAAATGCTTTAATTTAGCTCATATTTATGTGTATGTCATGAAAATGGCGTGTTATTTTTAACTTTTATCAACTTTTCTTGCCAAGTTTTATGGTTTAAAATAAACAATTCTTGTATTTAACATTATAAATTATTATAAAATTAAATAAAATGTATAAAAATATATTATATCGAGATTTATCTCTTCTTTAATTGAAGGGAATCTGAGAGGAAAGTAAAAACTTTTCTATCAGATTTTTTTTTCTAATAATATAATATCTATATAAATTACATTTATAAAATTTAAAAATTCCATTATATATTCTAATTTATATAAGCATTTTAATGATATAAATATAATAAATTAATTAAAAAACAAACAAAGAATTGTTACATTCCATACATTAGTAACACTCTTACATCAAACGAAAACAGCTTCTTCTCTAATTTTATTCAAGTTTTTATACGAAAAATACTTTAAAATTAATTAAGCAACACGTTTTTAGATGAAATAAAATTAATTTTCCTTATTATAAATTAATTGAACGAGGAAAATTTCATGGTACTGACACCTTTTGCATCACTCTTAGCTTAAGTTATTTCTCTTAAACATACACTAAAATTTATTAATTTTTAAAGAATTAATTCAATTTATACACTCTTTAGGGCATAAAAATCACTTTTAAACATAATTAGAAAAGTTTAAAAATTTATTTTATTAATTATAAACTGTAAAATTCCATGATATAACACCTTCTTCATCACCTGTACTTTAATCTGTTCCTCTTAAATATATAATAAAATTAATTATATTATTATATTTTTAAGTATAAAAACACCGTTAAACGTTATAAAGAGGTAAACAGGGGCCATAGTTACGCCCTAAAAATTGTTACTTTGCTTTAAAGTTCTAACAAAGTAACGTGTTGAAAGCTAATTAATAGTCAAAGCATCCAAAACTTTCAACCCTGGTCTTTCAACAATTTAATAAATTCATCGTCTGAAAGATGAAATAAATTTTTCTAAACACGTTTGTAATACTTTATATATATTATCCATCATCGCCTTATTTTAAGTTTTATTATATTTTAATTCGACAACTAACTTATATAGTACCACAACAAGCATTGTTATATTTGCAATAATAGGATGATAAATTTTAACATATAGATGAGGATAAACTATAGAAATTTGATCAGATTTCTTCATCCTTCAAGAAAACTTCCTCCTCATCGAAGAGACGTTCGTTAAGATGGAAAAACTCGTGAGCTTTGTTACAAGGTACAGCATCATCCGGATGACTACACGTCATAGTTTGCTGATTGAAAACTGTCAGATTGCCACAGATGAAGCTGTACTGTTCAGTTTTCTTCTCGGTGGGGTGGCAAACGTGGAAAATTTGACAATCCNAAGATCTATGGTAAAATTTAGTACATACAGAAATTCATTTATTTTTACTGAAATACGGCATTAAAAATGAGGCAGAGATGAGGAAATATGCCGTTATTTAGGTATAATACGAATTTCTTTACATTATGCGGCTTATTATGGAAGCGGGAACTATTCGTATTCGTTGACAAAATTATGGAAAACTTCCGATTCCGGTTCCGGATCTTAATAAAATTTGGCAGTTTCGAAGCCTCGAAACTAAGGAATTTTTTGACATCAAAATTATTTTTCTATAATAAACCGTTCAGAAGTACATATATATTGTTTTCATAACCTCTCTAATATTTACTCCATATTACTCCTTTATAAAACTTTTATTATAAAAAATAAAGCTTTTGAAGTTTTTTATTGTTATAAAAACTCTGTAAAGGGAGAAAATTAAAAAATACATGTTTATTTTATTGTTATCGAATAGATCGCGAACGATGAACACGCTATATTGCATGACTATGTTTATTATTTACCATGTTTTTGAAGATATAACAATTTAATTTAATTATTTAACAAATATTCTTTTCTAGAATATACCTTACAGTGATTTACAAAGAAACATAAACGTAATTTGATTAGTTTCTTAGAAATCATCAATTTTCTTGACCCTCGTATAAATATATCAAAAATTAACTTATTGGTATCAAATAAATAAAAATTATTTTATTAAAATTTTAATTAAAAATTTTAGAGAATATTTGGAAAATTTGGCTAAAATCTCTCGGAAAAAAACCCATCTCATCCATCTGTAAAATTTGATACTAACATTTTATTGAGGTCATTACTTCTGAGGTAGGCACATCCCTCGGAAGAATATGAAAGATTTCAGTGATTTAAATGTCAAATTTAATATTTATACAGATAAATTTTTACTGGAATATTTAATAATTTTGTGTTTTAGTTCCATAATAAAGAAATACTAAAATGTCTATAATTTCCATAATATATTTGATTCGATCACCAGAGGGATAACGTCGAATTCAAAATTAGTAGTAACGTTTCAGACTTGACCACTAGAGGGCCAATGTCAATTTCAAATTCAAAAGTTTGTAATTTAAATTATGTTTCAATCGTGACCACTAGAGGGCTTTTAACTTTTCAATTATTTCGTGTCTATCACGTGATAGGGCTCACCAATTGAGAGAGATCTTACATATTCAAACTAAACTTTTTGAGCGCCACTATACAAGTTTAATATAAAGGCCAAGATGTCAGCCTGCCATATTGGCCTTTATATGGTGCCAATAGAAGACTAACTTCCTATTATTATCACTCTCCTTTGGCATATTTATAAAGCACACAAATGACGTAATCATCCGTGTAATTCAAGACATTGATTCTCAAAACACGTGCTTGCTGTTCCACCTTTCTTTGACCAATCAGGAGCCAGTTTCCTGATTCTCCAATTAATTTACGATCCTGGCAAAGGAAAAACTGACAATTGGAAATAAGTATAAAAGTGATGTCATATTTTGAATTTACACACGAAGTGGTCAAGTATTTCTTAATAGCCGAGGCAGAAGTAAGTGAAGCGCTATAAGGGAGGTTACAAAATTGCATTTTTTAAGTCTAGTATATTAGCTAGAAATCTAGAATCCTCTTAAATATATAATCTAGCTTGTTTTTATGCTTTTTCATTTATTTATTAAGTTATATTTTACTTAATATTTAATAAATTTATGTTTGAATAATCAGTGTTATGAGGCTATCGATCGGAATACAGTAAAAAAAAAATGAGGGTTTTAAAGAATATAATGGGATTTTCTGTGTTATATGGTGTGTAATTAGTGAAGGAAGGGATATTAGGTAACTTGTAAAGTGTGTAAAATTGTGAATTTCCTATTGTCTAAGGTAAAATTACACAACGATTACTTAAATTCTTGTAGATAAAATGCAAAAATGTGAACATTTTTATTTTAAAAAAATGCAAGCAACGAAGCGTTTATAGATTAATTTATACATACAAGAGCATAAATTATAGAGATCTTTGCAATTTCACATTTTATTAGCTGAAAGGTATTTTACATTGCTAAGGCAGACCTTCACATTCCTATACAACAAGAACAACGCGCTGGCTAGAGGAACGAAGCACAGGATCGGATCAATTAGAGAATGATCGAAAAGTTCTTAAATTTTACGAGCCCTTAAAACATCATCTTCTGTCAAGAAAAGAGCTTTGGGATCTCCAATCTTGTCGTTAACGTAGAAGAAATCTTTAGCCCTGTCACAGGATACAGCTTCGTCTTGTGTGCTACAAGTGAGACTGAGTTGATCGAAAACGGTTTGGTTGCCACAGTAGAAACTGTAGTGTTGAGTTTCTTCGGTTCCGTCGGCATGAACAACAGGGTTGCAGACGTGGAAGACCTTGCAACCATTGGCTTGGTCAGCATAGAATCCTAATCGCAAACCATCGCACTTGAACGATGTTTGAATACTTCCTACAATCAGTTCTGCTCCATCTGGCAAAACGTAGGCTTGACGCTTCATCTGGAAGATGGATTTATCATCATAATTAAAAATAAAAAAACCTGTTGTAATGAAGGTAAATTGTGAAATCCTTATAAGATCTATGGTAAAATTTAGTACATACAGAAATTCATTTATTTTTACTGAAATACGGCATTAAAAATGAGGCAGAGATGAGGAAATATGCCGTTCATTTGCCTACAGTAAGTTATAATTTAATATAAAAAAAAATGTAAGGTTGTAAATTGACTTACCCTTGGAAGAGCGATGGCAACGGTTGCCAAAACAATAATTGCTTTAAAAATAAAGAAGAATATTTAGAAAAATAATGGATAATTCTTCTGTATTTTTGTAATTATAACTTACCAAAAATGTATTTCATGGTTTACAATTTGTATGAACAAATATGGCGAATGAAAAAAGTAGCTAATCCCGGAGGAAGAGGAGGAGAAGTAAATTGGCTTCTTAGAAATCACAAGCTAGTGATGTGTTGGATCCACTCACTCACCCTTTTATATACCGTTAGGAATTCCTAAAGGGTTACAAAGGTGAAGGATGGTGACTCGAAGAGGTTTCTGTGTCACTCATTGATTTAGTAATTTTCTGCCGCTCGACAACTGTTTTGTACGCCGCTCCCACTCTTCAACGCTCGCATATTTTGATTTTTATCTGGTTTTAACATTCTTTTGCAATTAATTCATGTAAATTTTTAAAAAAAAACCGTTAGAAGAGCTAAAAATAACAATAATTTAATACGGATAAATGAAATGTAGAAAATAAGAATAATCCAAACCCGTTTTTCGGTTTCGCATTCAAATAGATGAAACTGGTTGTCAAAATCTCCCCCCTCCATCGACGTCCTTGCATCTCTCCTGCCCGGGAATCTGTAAATATGCTGCAAGGGTCAGATGTTCCATAATTTAGATGCCACTTTATCGATCATTTCCTCATTAAACCCATAATAATTTGTAAAAGATATATCCAGAAGTTGGAGGATGATCATCCCAGGAAGAAAGAACTCATAACCATGTAAAGTGTTAAAAGTTTGTGGCAAAATGTACCAAAAGTTTAGGCTAAACTGTGCGAAAATTTAAAGTAAATTGTGCCAAAACTGTAGTAAAACGAAAGTCATAGTAAAACAAATGGACTAGATGATAATTAAGTGAAAACAATAGATACAATATGGCACAATTGGCACGAAAAAAATGCCTTACATACAATGCTAAAATATTGAAAATTGATTCAATTTATGGTACATTCAACTGTATTTTAGACAGATTACATCGTTATACAAGTGGTTATGTCAGCATAAACATTTGCATAACTGCAGTGATCTTATGTATTGCAGCATTGTATTAGGACCCCACTTGAAGATGACAGGTATTGCTTTTACACAGGATTGAATTTGGGAATTAGCTACAGATTAGAGCCCTAAGTTATATTATTTTATGGAAAAGGACTTCATACACCTTGTATCATAAGGCCACGATTCCAAATCCGGCTGTACTATTATAATTTACAAGAATATCAATGCTAAATATTTTCGATTATTTAGTATATTGATATTTATATGGACAAGCAAAGCTTATAAATGTATATAATGTAATTATTTTATTACTTCTATTCTACGAGAGCATTAAAATACAGGTACTGTAACATAAGATATGCAGAAGAGCAAAACAATTTACAAAACATATTTTTTAAATTTTCCTTAAAGAAAACTAACAGGATTATCGGTAAATTTACCCGATTTCCCGTTTAAAACGAGCTGTTCCAGTTTATAATTTCCATATTAATGCCATTACAAGCTACCAGTAACATAAATGCAATATCGGAATCCCACGCTGGAAAACCTGTAATTAAATGTACCAAAAAAAACCTAGGAAAATCTTTAATTAATTCCCCAAAAATTCGAAATCTCCCTTTTAATTGATTTGAACAAACACACTTGAGGTTCCATCTTTGTAGAAAGTGATAAAAAGTGTAGTACTGTCACGTTCCAGGTTTTTGCCTAATTACAGCAAAAATCTAGAATTAACTGTGCAAAATTGTCATCAAATTTGTTTAACGTTCGTAAAATCTGTTAAGTTGTCTGTCCGTATCCTTCACAACTATGCAACGGAGCGTGAATTTTAAACTTGTTTATGTTCTGCACGTTAAACTATAAAGTATGTCGCATGTTTTTTCCTGGTTGAAGTTCAAGTATCACTAGTAAAAGTATGATTAACGTGCGACGGTGGTATAGTGGTTAGCATAGCTGCCTTCCAAGCAGTTGACCCGGGTTCGATTCCCGGCCGTCGCATGTGTTTTTTTAATTTCAATAACACTACACAATTTTTCTTTATCTTCTTAAACATATAACAAATACATTTTTAAATCGATTAAAATAGTATTTCTTAATCTTATATTACGCTGCGACCCAGTTTTAACGTACTGGAAGACCGTGACATTATCAAGAATATAGTTCGCGACCCACTGGTTGAGAAAGATTCGGGGATTATCTGATGAATGTGCACTTAATATTATGGATACGTGCTTTAAATAACGATGTTTAGTAGTTTTAAATGGGGGGAAATGTAGGATTTTGTTGAAATTTTGCCAAATTGATGGTAACTTCCATCAATATCATGAAATTTTCGCAGATTTTTTGATAGGAAATTGATAATTTTGGCAATTTATGACGACTTTCGGGACAGGCTTAGATTGCAGCAAAGTTTCTGGGCAACAATCGATAATTTTGGCAATATTTTGTGAGTTCTTTTGGGCCACAATTCGTCTTATCTTGCGTATCCTTCAATGTGCCACACGCAGATAAATTCTTGGCAGGAGTTTCGAACTGGATTTGTAGTTAATTTCTCTTCTTTAAAATTCAACGAGTAAATTATCAAAAAACAAACAACATGTAGATTATATGGAAAGACAAAAGATTATAATCATTAAACCATTGATGTGGTTTTTACCTGTTCATAATTGGTTATGCTGTAGTTTCGATTTTTTCTTTCCTCTCGACCTAGAAAATCCCAATGCCTGGGGATGTGCAGGTGTCAAGAAACGAGTTTGTAGACAACTTTTCTTTGCTCCACGCATTTTTTTCTCCTGTTTATTTATTCATACCAATAAATATCTGACTAAAAACTATAAAAAAGAATAACTGTTCGTATGCATTGTTTTATTTAAAGAAGAGAACCTGTGATGATGTCAAAGACGTTTTTCAATTGCGGAATTGCAAGGTTATAAAAACATTTGCCAAAAATTTAAATGAGTTTGAGATAAGAAAGCGTTAATAAATAACAAGAAGAATCATATGAATCTTCTCCTATTTATAAAAAATTCCTGAAGTACTTTTTCAGGTTTACTTCCTTATTAGTCATAACGATAATGTTTCTAGGGAAATTATATTAATTTAACTGTAATTTATATAATTTTTTTCCTCTAATTAATCAGATATCTGTCTCCTTTTGCTATTTAAAATAAAATATTAACCGTATGTCCTCAGTTTTAATTGTGCAGTTCATTTCTTTCATCCTTAATGACCCTTATCTAAATATGAATACAGCTAATCTGCATATGAATGCATCTCATTTGATTATGAAGGCGTTTAGGACTTATTAATTATATTTTTTACATCTCAAACTACTAATAAATTCTAATAGGATCTATTAATTATGATTAGGATGAATATTTAATGAATTATTTAATAGAGCCACGATCAGACTTTAGACTTGTTGTGGACTTTAAGAGGCCTTTTCCTTCCAGCAAATGATACCGTAATACGCGTAAATGCATGTTATTATCCTTTATTACATGCATACCCTTTAAACTATAGTCTCAACGCGAAGTAACTTGTTTGGTTCATATAAAAATTCGGCTCTGATTGCAGTGTATCAATTGTGATGCCATTTTTACGCTCGTTTATTTGTGAATTTTATATAATGTAAAAAAATTGTGTAAATAAACATTTATGGAGCAAAAATATCCATGCGACGGCCGGGAATCGAACCCGGGTCAACTGCTTGGAAGGCAGCTATGCTAACCACTATACCACCGTCGCTCGAGTGGATATTTTCCTCCATAGGTACTTGAATATAAATCAGGAAATAAACGCAAGTCACGTGATAGTAATTTCTTCTATATCACGTGATATAGGTTTATTTTCCTGATGTATGTTTAAGTATTTGAGGAGGAAAACGTTCTTTCAAGCGACGGTGGTATAGTGGTTAGCATAGCTGCCTTCCAAGCAGTTGACCCGGGTTCGATTCCCGGCCGTCGCATGCATTTTTTGCCATTTTATTGATATAAATATTTATATATTTTAATTTTAATCAAATATATTCACTGTTAACGAACATAAAATACGATAAATTATGTTTATTTACATAGAAATTTCAGTTTCTTGAAATGGTAACGGTCTTGAGTGACCATTAAACGAGCTTTACAAATGCTTCAAAAGTTGCCTTCTCTGTAAATTTGTCAAATAATTATGCATATTTAAGACTTTTCGAGGTATTTCTATAATATATTTTATGCAGTTTTTCAATTTTTATTTAAAAACACTTCTGGAAAACTATCATCCAGAGCATCTGGAGGATGTTGCTTATATCTTTAAAGCACCTTCCTAGTCATTTTGAAGTATATTTTATTAAATAATTTTAAAATTTTACTTCAAAACATTATAAAGGATCTATCTGTAAGGTTCTTTATAATTTTCCAACCTAAGAAAATAAAGATACACGTATTAACTAAATACAATCTGCAGCATCTTAGGAGATCGCTAACTACTGATTGAGTGATGCTGCTCAATACATTTTCTAACATCCTTCTACGATACGATACAAGTTTTTAAATGTCATTTAAGTAGTTTTTTTTATAGTTATAACCGCGTTATAAAGGTTACGTTATATCTGATGTTACACTCAAGAATGATGGTGTTGTTGGGGGTGGATCTTACTCTCTGTTTCACTCGAGTGAATAAAAGCGCCTAAAATTAAAATAAATAACTAGTTTTGAGTGAAATTTTGATAAAAATTCTTAAATTTTCTTGGAATTGTAATACTAAATCAACCAAAAAAAGGGGTGTTTTGGCTTATTTTATCCGGAAAGATGAAATTTCAAGCACTCCTTCGATGATTAATTTGCATATAATTGTAGATTTCAGATAAAATATCAAAATTGCATAGGGTCTGCCATTAAAGTATAAAGAAAGGAAGACGTTTGCACCATTCATCTCGTGCTGAAGATTGCAGGAAGCAATCTTCAGCACGAGATGAATGGATAAGCAATGGTTTTACGTGACGTACGTGACTGCAGTTACACAGTATTGTATCTATATTTATAAATTATCACGATTTTAAATCCATAAATATTGATTTAAAATCGTGATAAATTGATTTAAAAAATAAATAAATAAACACCCCATCATTCAAAAACTATAGAAACTTATAATCATGTCACCTCTGAGGACGTGAATCCTCCATTAAAG